CCTGTTGTCACCAGACAGTTGTCCACAATAGGACACAAGCACACTCCAGGTTATTACACCTTGCCACTGCTGTACACCAGGGGGGGCCACCATCTGGTGCCTACTCACGTGCAGGAGGATGGTTGCCTTCCCTGAGTGATGGAAGGGAACCTTGGCCAGAAATCGGGTGGGGGTCCGATAGGGAATCCCTGTAGGCACTGCAGCAGGTAATCCTGGAGTAGGTCCCAATGCCTAGCAGGGTAAGGCTCAGCCCAAAGGCAAACAAACATGAGCCCTAAAAATAACAAACATTACGATGTCCCTGTGTAGCCGGCGGAAACACAAAAAAACTGACTTGGGATGGAAGGAGGAGTCTATTTATTTAATGTGGTTGATGTGTTTCCTGTTGCAGGCAGGCGGAGCCTATATCTCGATGGCTGTCCTGGAAGATGACTGGGGAAAAGTACCCTTGCAGAGGGGCTAACCCAGCACTCTAAGGGTTAAGTGCTCGTTTTGTCTCAGGGGGCTCAAATAAAGCCGATATACTGATCTGATCCTCCATCCCATGGCGGTCGGCACTCATCACTTTCCCCCTCCGCTATGAACGTTGCTCAGCGTCCTCATATCTAAATGCAACTCAATGGACCTGCATTAAACATCATGACATCAAAGGTCCTTAGACTTCCAGAGCCCGGGGGAGAAGAGGCTGCGGGGACCGGTCTTGCAGCCAAGCAGGACTGAGAATCAGGTGAGTAGATTTGACCCACCTAGACAAAACGAGTATCAGTGGGGGCAGCCCCCACTGCAAGGGTGAGTTTGTGAAATTCCAGGGGAGGGGGGGGGTTCTCCTTTAAGTTCGGGGATACACAGCACCTTATTCTGGGTTGTACAGCATCTCTTACTTGCAGGATTGTTGTCTGAACAAATATTTTGGGCCCCCACAGGTGCTGGCTGTCTCAGCACACTCAGAGCGTTGGAGGCGGAGACTGTGAGGACGGGATCGCCGGCCTGGAGAGAAGAACCACATATCAGAAATGTGTTTATAGAGCTTGATATCGCTTTCCAGCTGAACACACTGACCTTGTAGAAGCTGGAGAAGACCGGGACACTTTCAGAGGGGACAGAGAAGGAAGAGCCTTTGTATGGCTGACTGACTGACAGGAAGTTCGATGCATCCACTGTCCGCGGGGTGACAAAGTAATTTAGGGAGGCTGCAAAGACAGAGAGAACACACAGACTGTTACCTGCAATGGGGTCATGAAGGTGGGACCAGAATAATCACCTGCAATGGGGACGCAGATGGACACATGTTTCTCTTAAAGAGATTTTTTTTTCCGCGAAAAGAAAATACACGGTACATCCGGGTATGGAGGAGGGTCATGTGACTTATTAGCCTTCCCTTCATGTGATGGCCGAGACTGGTCATGTGGGGGTGAGGAGAAAGACCTCAGCCCTGTGTAAGCACATTGGAGAATACACAGGGCGTCCTTTCTTCTCTCCCGGTGGTTGAAGAGAGCAGCAGGGGGGAGCGCAGGGGAGAGAAGTCTGGGATGCCGGCAGGGCCGCCATTAAAGAGGACCTGTTGCTTTGACCTGCATTGGTTCACTTTAAAGCCCAACCCAGCCTTGCAGGTCAATTTCTTCAGAAAGCAGCCACAGCCTGAGTAGAAAAGCCTGTCCCCGGCCAGCATGCTGGAAGCTGTGGTCTCTCTGCAGAGGTCTGACACGCCTCCTGTCGAGTCAAACCTATAGAAAAGTTTAAACTCTGCTCCAACTGGAGTGCTCTTACTCCCTCACCCCCTCCCTGCTCTTGACATGAAAGTTAAGATTATTATTATCTGATATGCGGGTTGTATACAATCTGTAAGTGTACAGGAGATGTGCTCACCTACTAGTAATATGCTCGTGTATACTTTTATACATTTTGGGGGTGTGGTACGCAAGTCTAGGAATAGGGCCCACCGTACTATTATGAAGACGTTTAGAGCCAGACACTTACCATCATCTGAGAGGACGCAAAACAGTTGAGTGGGGGGCGAGCCGACCTGCTTGGTGGTGTAAGGGGTGTTGTTGCGAAATATAAGCCAGTTATACAGACACACCAACCTCTCCGCCCTGAACAGAAATCAGAGAGAAAGCATTAAACCAATGATATACATCTCCCTCCCAGAGGTCTGTCAGGAACAATGTACTCCGTTACACAATTACAAGAGAAAGCTGAACCACCCCACAGCTTCTTCTATCAATCCCTACAACCTCAGCATGGCTTGGGGATTATGAGAAGCCCGTCTCTAACTATCCACTGAGGGGTGCTTTAAAATCACAAGGCCCCTAAGGGATAATCCCGTTATTCTCCAACCTCTATTTCCACTCAGTGGAAAAACCCCACTGGCTGCCCAGTGGTTCTAGCAACCAATGACTGCAGAGGAGAAGGATGACCCTTGATGTCATTGGTTGCTAGGATGCCAGTGGTCCTTGCAACCAATGACTGCAGAGGAGGGGGGCCCCTGATATCATTAGTTGCTAGGATGCCAGTGGTCCTAGCAACCAATAGCTGCAGAGGAGGACCCCTGACATCCTTGGTTGCTAGGATGCCAGTGGTCCTAGCAACCAATGTCTGCAGAGGAGGAGAACCACTGACGTCATTGGTTGCTTGGACACCAGTGGTCCTAGCAACCAATGACTGCAGAGAAGGAGGACCCCTGACGCTGTTGGTTGCTAGGACGCCAGTGGTCGTAGCAACCAATGACTGCAGAGGAAGAGAACCCCGACGTCATTGGTTGCTTGGACGCCAGTGGTCCGAGCAACCAATGACTGCAGAGGAGGAGGACCCCTGACGTCATTGGTTGCTAGAATGCCAGTGGTCCTAGCAACCAATGACTGCCAAAGGAGGAGAACCCCAGAAGTCATTGGTTGTTGGACTGCCCATCGGTCCTAGCAACCAATGACTGAAGAGGAGAACGGTCTGGATCACTGACCTGCACTGGCCTATGAGCACAAAAAAGACTCAGTGAAGTCTGTTTGGAACCCAAATAATAATGATGATCATCTCTCTCTATATACACGCATCTCCCTCCCCAGTGTGTAATGTGTGAGATAGAAGACAAAAGGCCTTACTTGGTGCTGCCAGGTAAACAGGATGAGAAAACGCTTGTGGGGTCACTCAGGGAGCAGTCGGGGTCACAGCAGCAGTTCAGGTCGCAGTTTCCGGGTGAAAGGTCACAGGAGCAGATTGTCACACCTGATGACAGTAGAGATAGAGGAGGTATAATGCGCTTTCAGAAAACAAAATGCAATTTTTCTCTTGAAGAGCTTTTTTTTTTTCCATGACAAGAAAATACACAGTCCATCCGAGTATGGAGGAGGGTCATGTGACCTACTATCCCTCCTCTCATGGGAGAGCGCTGATGCTTGGGGATTGGCTAACACTGGTCATGTGGAGGCAAGGAGAAAGTCCTCAGCCCTGCATACGCTTCATCAAAAGCTTGTCACAAAGCTGCATTTCATTACTTTATAGGGGTGACAGGTCTGCTTTTATACTGTTACAAAGGGCTCCAAAGCACCACTTACCGCTGGAGGCTCCCCTGACCGGTCCGACCTGACACCACAAGGCGACAATTACCAGGAGAGTCCGGGAGAAAGCCATACTCCGGGCCATGACAAGGCCGCAGCGTTGCGTTGCTACAGCAACCACCGATGTCGACGTCACTCCTCAGCGACGCCAACAGATTCTGAACGGCGCAGCCAATGAAAGAGCGTCACGCCCAGCGAGAGCCCACCCTCCAATCGAGCCGTACAGCGCTCTGGTAGCGATGGTGTAGTGTCGCTGGTCACCAGCAGAGGGCGGTGTGGTTGCTTGTGTTGTCACAGCCCATAGAGAAGACTTACACAGCACATACTGTACAATGGAGGCAGATTTATGTCATTTTATCAGCAAAAACAATCTCATCTACTAGCATTTTATAATTTCCAGATCAGACCTCTCATTCCCAGATCCTTCAGCATTGTTCCTGGAAACTTTTTTTTTGTAAGGAAGTTTATTTTTTTGCTGTTTGCGCACTACCGGGGAAATTCCCCTTCACTTCCTGTCCAAGAGAAGAAAACAGGAAGTGACGGAAATTCCCCTCTTAAACAGTTGTCCTTGAAACAGGTGTCCCCGTTGAAAGATTTCCAAATCACCTCTTGTTTTGGTGACAACTCTAAAATTATGGATTTTCCATCACTTTCTGTCTGGCAATGGTCACCTGTACAAATTGAGGGGGTGACTTACAAATCTCTTGGGTGGGTTTTTTTGGAGCGCGGAGAACCAATGTCAACTCCATTGGTCCGCGCATTTCTTGTAACCTAAACTCCCTCTATAGTCCTAACTGTCTCAAGCTCCTAACTTTCTCAGGACCTCTCTAGATGGAAAGACAGAAGACTATGTTGGTTCAGCCATCTCAATATCCTGAGGGTGGACGTTCTTCCCCCCACTCCCCTATATCTTCGATTTTTGGCTGGTATACCCACCCCAATCCTTCTTTACTCATCTTCCCTCTAGAGTTGCCACCTTTTCTTCAAGCGAAACCCGAACACTCAAGCGACGTGTAGACATTTCTTTTGGAGAATGAGTCCTGGCTTATTCATATGTAAATATCACAGTTGAGACTATTTTCAGTGGGGGGCCAGTAGCCCCTATCTTAATTTTGGTTGCCCCCGTCTGCCTGACATCTTGTGTCCGGGTTTCTGCTGCCATGAAACCCGAACACAGCATTCAAAACCCGAACTGTCCGGGTGAATCCTGGACAGGTGGCAACCCTACTTCCCTCCCTTGCTTTAAGATTTGTTTGCCATAAAATACGCCACTCTTATGAAATCCAGGAATGAAGGGGGTGTGGGGCTCCCTCACTTCAAGCTGTATCACATGACCATAACTGGTTTAATCACCGCTCTGATAAAAGAGTATCCCAGTTAGAACATGACCTGAACGCCCTGAATCTCTCCCATGGCTTCCCCACTCCCAAAAACCACATCACACCACCCTCCCCGTCATAGCATCACCCCCTTTGCCAATACGGGACAGGTTCATTATATCTAAGATGCTCTGCCACACACCAGGGCCCCTTACTTCCTTGTTGGACAACCCAACGTTTGACCCTAGTGTGGGTGCACCAGATAGCATGGAATTCTCTAGAAGCCCCAAATCTACTGTCCAAGCACATGGTGGACTATCAAACGCCCACCATGGGAATAACAACCCGTTCCACCACTTGGCTTATTTCTACTGAGCTTACCAGCTTTCTTCACACACTCAAGAGACCTATACTACCGTCTCCTAAACTTACATCATTAGAGATCCTTCTCTCTTCCACTCAACCTCCCTCCCAAACAATCTCCCAATTATACAGGCTGCAAAGTCATAGTCCTCTCTCTGGTCCCGAAGTCCCCATGAGTTGAGCCTCATCTACCCATCGACCTCAGTTAACTGATAGTAGGCAATGTCTTTCTTGAATTTCGAGAGGGACCCGGGAATCACTGACAGAGGAACCACCCGAGGGGAAGCCAGAGCATTAGAAATGCACATGGTATTAAAAGTGAAGAAGACATTTCTCCAAAAGCAGATTAGCTGACGGCATCCCCACCAAATAAGAAGATAGTCACCTGGTTCCTGGTCACCTAGTTCTTCATATTTGGTGGGGATGCCATCAGCTAATCTGCTTTTGGAGAAATGTCTTCTTCACTTTTAACAGCATGTGCATTTCTAATGTTCTGGCTTCCCCTCAGGCGGTTCTTCTGTCAGTGATTCCTGGGTCCCTCTCAAAAATCAAGAAAGACATTGCCTACTAGCAGCCAGGATTGCAAATATCCCAACACTGGAAATCTGCCATCCCCCCATTGCGTTGTGGCATGGGCATATAGATCCTCAGTGGTATAATGACCATGGAGTCTCAGGTGGCATCTAGCCGAAAAACAAATCCAAAGGGCATTCTCAACTTGGTTGGCTGACTCACAGGAACCCGACACCTTTAAAGCTTTGGGCAGCATTTATGGAGGTCTACCTTACCACCTCCCCCTGTCTTCTAGTCCCTACGGGATGTAATACCCTTTAATAGATGTCCCATTGCCAGGTAATGTCTCTGTTCAGATGTATACTGTGACGAGAGCCATGGAGGTTCTAAATTCCAAAAATAATAAAGTTTTGCTGGGTTCTTATGCTTTTTCAACACTGCATAGACCAAGTAAAAACTTACATTTATTATCATTTATAAAAGTGATATTGTCATTTTTTTTTTGTCAAAACACATTCAAAAACCTTAAAAAGACTGAAATACGCCTGCACAAGCAGATGCCAATGAAACAAGTCAATGTGCTGAGGAAACCGCATTGTCTTCAGTAGGGAGATACAATCAAGGGCAGAGTGTCAGTTTTGGGGTAGTTATAGCAGTAGCCATGTGGTCATTTTTGGCCAGGAGGACATTAAAAAGTATATTCCATATGTTTAGAAGAGCCGACTCCATTTATACTTTGAAAAAAAGTTATTGGAAATGGTCATCCCTTCTCTCAAAAAAAGCTTCTGAAATATGTGAAATGATGGTTTGTTTTGGCCAGTGCCATTGGTGGAACAGCTCCTGTAGAGGAACCAGGAAGTCCATCTCTCCATGCCACTAATGGTCCTTATTAGGTACAATAAGAAAGGTGTTTTTCCCCCTCGTCCGGCCTCCATGTATCAAACAATTGCAACTGAAATTCCACAAGCCTCCATGGTCAAATGTAAAGAGTTTCACATGACATCCACCATCTTTCACTATTGGTGGTCCGTCCACAATCCCCCAGGCGTCGCGGTTTTCCAACCTTCAATGACAGTTAACCTTCATTGCGACACCTGTGTCAGTTTTCTTCAACTTTCAATGGACAGTTTACAGTCTGTCCCTGCCATGAAGACCCTCACAAGTTGCTGGCTTGGTAGGACAAGTAAAAGTCTCCATCTGCCGAATACAAAGGCATAAGATAAAATACATTTCATTTGACAAGTTTATCTCTACCATGGCATACACACAATTGTACATTCAGGTCCATTCCAGTCCTACCTTGTTGATTCAGCTTGGTGCTGTTGGGCCACTTTTGCTCCGGTGCAATGTCCACCATATTTGTCCCGGTCTGTTCTACCTCTTCTTTGATGGCATGGCTAAGCGAGTTGACTGAACGGTTCATTTGGGAGTAGACGGGGGTCTGCATGTTCTCATAAGAATCGGCATCTAGAGACACGAAGAATGTAACGCAGTTGATGAAGATTTAATAAATGGAAACTTTATCAGAAAGATAAAGGGTCATTTGCCCCCCAAAACTGAGATTTTGATCTTGCATCTGCTTTCAGGCTAATAAGGGGCCATTTCTTTTTGCAAAAGAACATTTGACATGTTCTGGATAGTTGGGATGAGCTCTTGTAACCATCAGTAGCCATATAAAGTCACCTGCACCCAGGGACATCTTTAATACTGATTGGACCCTGGGCAAATGTTTTCTTGGGCCTCCCACTCCTACCCATCGCAACCCCCTAACCAACCCCCCACCCCCACACACAAAACACCCCCTACGAGCCCCCGCCATGCAATTTTGCCCATGCATATGCCTATACGACAAGGCCGGAGCAACACTATGCAATACTGATCGCACAGTAAACAGAAGAATGGCACGGGTGTATCTTTTGCGGGCTTCAAGGTCAGGGCCGGTGCAAGGATTTTTGTGTACACAGGTGAAGGTGCATTTTTCACCCCCTCTAGGTCATAGCAGAGCCGCCTCCTCCAGCACACACATACACACAGCACGGAGGGCATCCACCCAGCTCTTCTTTCCGTGTCACCCGCTCTGCCCTGCGATCGTCCAGCGCTCTGCTGTCAGTGCTGAGATGCAGGGCCAGTGGTAGGAGTTTTGTAGCACAGGACCTGCTCAAGGGGCAGCTGCTTTGGGCCCCACAACAATGCCTGGGCCCTGGGCAGCTGCCCCTTTTGCCCTGCGTTAAAGACGGCCCTGCCTTCACCCTTAAAAACCACCTTTGTTGAGTCATTCTCATTGACTCCAATGCATTTCACCAAAATGGTGACACTGCCGAAATCTCCCTACATTCACCAAATTTTTGGGGAAGTGAAAAGTAATCGTTATATTTTTTTTTATTTTTTATTTATTCAATTTTCACAGTATATTGGAGAATGCAACACGAGGAATAGGAACACCAAAGGTGGGTAAGATCACCCAAGAACTTTAGGGTGAATGGGAACAAAGCCAGTATGTGGGGCGGGGAGATTTTCTTTAGAGATATAAGAGAAGGTGGGTCAGCCTTCCAGACTTCACCAATAACTAATAATTCTTTAGGTGGACTGGCATTTTAAAAGGCACCTTAAAGCCCATCCCCCCAACCCACTTATGTTAACCTTTACATCTTTTCCTAACTGCTCCTATCTCCACTGCAGCTGCTGTGACTGTCAGCCCCATGTTGGATGGTGTCTTAGCTTACACTGGGTTGAGGGTGTCAACCCGTTCTGTCATAGTTCATTAGTGGGGACAGACTGCAAGGCCAGAGCCTTGTATCTTGGGAGGTCACGTGCTTTCCTGAACCATGGGTGTAACATGGAATATGGTGTTAAAGGTTGAATTCGCCTTCAATCCATGTGGCAGCCATAGTGAATTATGCTCAATACAGACACGGGGGTATTCTCTCTCTGGGAACCCTCCTCCCGG